CCTAAGCCACTAAACCCTAACCCTAACCACAATAACCCCTAACCATAGGGCATTAAACCCTAACCCTAACGCAGTAAACACAATGATGCATATCCCGAAGTACGGCATAAGCGCACGCGCGTGACGCGGTCAAACGGTAAGGAAGAAATTAATCGGCGCTGATGCCGGAGTAAGGGGATAGGCAACACCCCCAATACTGCCGAAGATGGAAGAAGGGACACGGTCCATGTATGACGGATAAAAAAAAAAACATCGGCATGGTGTCGATCGCGCTCCAGGCCGCTAATTTGGTATCCACAACAATAGTCGTGAGAATAACAGGCTCCGAGATAGGGGCAGGGTCTCTGCGCTGTGCGCACCACGAAAACCACCTCTTACGGACACACATTTAATCGACATTACAACACGCATTTCTTTACTAAGATTACGTCAAGCTTATAGAGACAGCACCAAAGGTTATAATGATAGCAGTGTACGTTGTTATTTATTCGTAATAACCGCGAGGCGATTAGGTAGACGAATGGGCCTACATTTACATTCATTTTCTCACCGTTGCTCGACTTCTAGAAGCACTTTGTGTGGGCAAAAATCAGTGTAGAACAACGAGTCTGCGGGTTGACTGCTGAGGCATGATCTCTACCCCTCTCCGTCTTTCTCCGCGCAGTCACGTAAACGCTCTCACTGAGAAATTGTTACGTTTAGCGTTAAAGTATTTAAATAACACGCAAACTAAAACGTAATCGGTAACAGATTTAAGGTGAATAATAACACTAGTTTTTAACTATATGGGCTGCGCGGAAGGATTTGTTATGAATACGTCAAAAAAAATTAAAATGTTCTGCTTTTAAAGCCTTTCGTTTAAGTTCGCACACTGATCGTTCTTATAGCGGCTGCATGCCCGATGACCAGCCGATGAATCTTGCCCGAAGCGCATGCATGTTAACCTGCGCAATATCCGGAGATGGGCACGCGTTGCGATAGCCGACTACAAGAAAGCCGCACAGGAAACCATAGATTTGGCAGATAAAAAATACAATATCATAAAGCATTTCCTCCAGCGAGTTTCTTGATTCACCAGTCTGTCTTATTTGTTTACATGGAGACTGGGGCAGCAGTAATAATGCGTCAGGAATATAGACGCATTCTTTGAACTGTAAGCGACACAGCACCGCGCAGTGAGGGTGGTGAGACGAGATGACAGGACAGACAAATTAACGGCCGCACCAAAAGCACCAATCGCCGATTATATATACATTAGGGCCAGTTTATTAAGTAAGATAACATTTGAAAAATAGAAATAACGGTGTCAACACGGTTCTATTACCGCGACGCGAGCTTTCGAGAACAATTTCTCTTCGCTCAGGGCGACTACAGGGGGAACAGAATTGGGAAACATGTTATTTTAAAAACTAAGCAATGCGAGTCATGCCCCGTTACCTGGATGAGCAAATGAATACAAATTAAACAGACACACATGTGATTGGGTGATTTAAAGGATTTGCTAGAAAACACGGGGTGTGGATATCCCGCCGGGCGTCGGAGGGACGCATCACGGTGATACAAGTCCTGACGTATACTTCGGAAAAATATAACAGTAAA